ACTAATGATGGGAAAATAGCAAACTAGGGATGGGAAGTTCAAATCATTTTACCGACTCGGATCTTTGAGTCTCGTTCAGCAAAATGAACAAATCTTTTTTCGAGTCATTTCGTTCATTTTGTTCATTTTAGCAAAATGTAATTAAAATGTTAAATGTTACTTCCCTAACACATCTACTACTAGAATTCTGGCAGCAGCGTTCTGGATGAGCTGCAGCTGTCTAATGGTATTCTTGGGAAGGCCGGTGAGGAGACCATTACAATAGTCTACGTTGCCTTTATCTGCTGGTGATAAAGGCATGAACAAGTTTCTCCGAGTCTTGACTGGAAACAAAACATATAATTCTTGCAATGTTTTTGAGATGATAGTATGCTGATTTAGTTACTGCTTTGACATGACTACTGAAACTAAGGTCTGTCTCCAGAATCACACCAAGATTCTTGACTTGATTTTTAGTTGTTTGACCCCTAGAGTCAAGGTATGCATTCACCTTGAGAACTTCATCTTTGTTTCCAAATGCAATGACTTCAGTTTTCTCCTTGTTTAACTGAAGACAATTTTGGCACATCCAACTATTAATTTCATGAATGCATTGGCAGAGGGAGTCAATGGGGCTGTAGTCATTTGAGATTAGTTCATCTTTTGAGTCTTCAGGTTTGAGTCGTTCGTTCTTCACGTGACAGCCCCAAAAGCTTAACCAATGCAGTCTGAGCCGGAAAGAGAATTGATTAGTTCATCTTTCGAGTCTTTCAAGTCGTTCGTTCTTTTGTCACGTGACTTGACAGCAACCTTCCCAATCCTTACAAATGGGTGCATAGTTATTATTATGATTATGATTATGATTATTATTTGCTCTTACAGTTACGTGATGCATTTCTGGTCTCAAATTGTATTTAAAATGTATTTCTTACAGTTTATAAATGTGTGAATTTCTGTCATGATGGTTCTTTTCCTGTGGTAACAAATGTAATAAAGAGTTGGTTATTCTTTACATTTTGTCCATATTATGGTGAAATCACTTTGATAAAGCAGAGATACTTTTTTTTTTTTGCATTGGTTAAGCTTATGGGTCTGTCACGTGATGAACGAACGACTCGAAAACCCGAAGACTCGAAAGGTGAACTAATCAATTCTCTTTCCGGCTCAGACTGCATTGGTTAAGCTTATGGGGCTGTCACATGATGAACGAATGACTCAAACCCGAAGACTCGAAAGGTGAACTAATCAATTCTCTTTCCGGCTCAGACTGCATTGGTTAAGCTTATGGGGCTGTCACGTGATGAACGAACGACTCAAACCCGAAAACTCGAAAGGTGATTCATGTATGCTATATGGGGGTTATTCATATGTGTAGCAGCAATATTTCTTACATGCTTACAGCAGCAAGTTGTGGATGTATTGGCAGTAGCAAGTCTCGGTACTTGCACTGCCGCAGCAGCAGCAGCGTAGCAGATCTATTCCGCCAAGACCAAATACATTAACATTGTCATGTACATTACCATGCCAATCCCTCTGAGAGTTGTCATGACAGAAATACATTTATCTTATGTTCGGAGATCAGACTGCATTGGTTAAGCTTATGGGGCTGTCACGTGATGAACGAACCTGAAGAATCTAAACACAGAACCTATAGAATCTAGCGCATGCACGACTGAACGAATCATTCCCCGAGACGACTCGTTCTTCCCGAGTCAAATTAAAGATTCATTCAAAATGCACGAATCATTCAAGAACGACCCATCACTACAGCAAACTGAAACACTGTTTATGGACAATTATAAATACAGAGTTCTGGCATGGAACTCTAGATGGCACAGTCCGTTAGGTCTAGCTCAATCTGACCTGGCGACATCATTGTCGCATGGCAGCTGATTGGTTCTCTCCTGAATCGGTAGCCAATGAGCTTACTGCTCAATATTCAAATACCTGGCTTTTGTTTGCTGTAGCAGTTT